ACCTCTCTGGACCCCAGTGCGTCTGGATCTCTAGACTTTCTGCTTACAGACCTCACACACACTCTGTGTGGGGTCTCTTGCCGGATAATTTTTGATCCCTCGCCCTATGAAATTCCTCTAAATTTGTGTCAAGCCTTGTGTCTTTTGAGCAGCAGCTTTGGGGTTGTAAATTCCAAGATTCATCCGTATTGAGTTTTGTTCTGGTTCGCTGTGATTTCTCAAGGGCACCTGCTTGTGAGGTTGTGAGATGTAGGAGTTGAAACTTTGGCCGCAGGAAATAGCACAGGCAGCCTTGAGCAATGCCGTTGCCGAGAACAAGTTGGAATTGGAAAAACAGGCGGCAGGGGGTTCGAGATGGTTCGATCAGGTGGGATCTTGACAGTGTCGAGGGTGCTATATCTGATCTGATGAGTAGACGAACCACCGTTCTGTGCTGCTCCAAGCAACATTTAGTGGAAGCACTTGGGCCATTGGTCGGTCAGAACAGGTTGCTATTGCGAAGACTCTGGCAGAAGCGACAGCCGAATACAAAAACGGCAAAGAGGAGCTGTGGCCTTTTGCCCAAAGCATGGATGTGGGAACGGTGGCTGTGGGATGTGGCGGATGTGGGTGCGCGTGCTTTGCTCCAAGATATTCCAAGAGTCAAGTGGGGCCGTTGTTTTTTGAAGGAACGTTCGCAAAGTGGAAACCCATGCTTGCGCCAAGGCAAGCCATGAGCTCCATACAAGATACCAATGAGCAGAATGTGAAGGACAGCAATAGAATGAAAACTGTAGAAAGATGTAGGAAGAGTTTTCAGGCACGGAGCCATACGTTTCCACATTGATTTAATCGACAACAAATTCTAGCCTGGCCACGGCCAGGACATAGAATCTCTACGTTTGCGTACTCAGCACATGGAGCTTCAACGATTTGGCCAGGCATGAGGTTGACGGGACGCACCACCTTGCGTTGAGAAAAACACGTAAGGCTTCACATGTTACATGACACGAAACCACATGAGTCAGAGACAAAACTATCGTCATTTGGTTTTAGCTGGGGTGTTTCACGCAGCTAGCGTTTACGATGCTTTCCTCGAAAAACGATGGGGGGCGTCCTAAAAACGAAACCGAAGAAGAAGAAGACGAAGAGGAAGCGGAAGCGGAGCGCCCCTTTATTTAAATGAGACTCCCTTCTTGAGTCGCCCTCATTACTATAAAACTAAATTAGATATGTTTAAAGGCGCCCTTCCCTTCCTTTTTGCTTCTCGTTTTGTTTCTCGCTTATCAAGCACCAAGCATTTCAAATCGCCAGGTGACTCGCCAGCTCGAGGAGTGGCTGAGCTGCAGAAATGCCTTCATCGAAAGCTGGTGATAAGATGGAGAAGAGATAGGCCATGCCAGGCTTAAAGATGCGGTTTGGAGCCGTCAATTTGTTGTCAGAGGTGCTTGTAAGATGGCTCCGGTGCAAATCAAAACAAAGCCACCAGACCTGAGCTCCTTATGTCGAGGCTGACCGTCCAGCAGGGTGACACCACGGGCAAGCTGGAGCGGGTAGAGCAAGCGCAGAGCAATACTCATCGGGCCTTGTCTTCCAAGCTGGACGGACATAGCCAAGAGCTTCAGTACCTGGCAGGGAAGATCATCGAAGTTTGGAATGATATTCGATTAGGTTGGTCAGGTAGGAGATGTTAGGGCGGGGCAGTGGCGCAATGTTGCCAGCAAGAATGAAGAGCTTGAACGGCATTCGGCGGATGGTTGAATTGAGAGGCATTGGTGTGGAGTTGTAGCTGACAATGATGGGACCTCATGTTGGAACCTGTGGTGCGACCGCATGCGGCCTTAGGGGGTGGCCAAAACAGCTATTCCGGGGGTCATGTCACCTACTGGAATATTTTTTGAATAGTTGCCATGGAATAATATTTAAGCAAGGTAGCGGGTTAAGGTACCACCATCGATTTCAGAATAGTAAATTTGAAGCGTTGACGGGTCTATCAGATACAGAAGTCTGCAAATTATTCTGCAATGTGAACGACATATTGGAATAGTTTTCAGAATCTATGTGGGCAGTGGTCAGGATGACCTTTAACTCAGACCACTCCGTGGCTGGCTCAAAGCCTGATGCCCTCGTGGATTCCGGAGCTGATCCAGATCTTGACCTGGGGTAGCTCAACTGGTTGGTGGGGTCTTGGTTGTCCGTCACATTGCGGTGCCTCGGTTATCTATCTTCTGGCCATCGTAATTTGCTGGCTTCTCCTCTGGTTGCCTGACCATCCTGGTCTTCTAGCTTTGGATTTGCCACAGGCACCTACTTCCCTTGTCACCACCCGTTACGCCACATCCCGCTAGATCCTTCGATTCGAGGATCGCGCTGTCTCCACGGGCCTCTCGGCGTAGTATTTGCATGAGCGCTCCTACCAGCCTACACATTCTGATTGAATCGGTCGGCTGCTCACGCTGTTTGGGGCCTTGCTAATACCCTGGAGTCGGCGGCAAGCCGTGCTGAACAGCCTGCTGGTGTCCTCTTCCAGGGCACCCCTTCCATCTCCAGCGATACAGTCGATACAGTTGATTGGGGTCTTATCGCCCAGCTTGATGCTGCTTCTGGTCATCCGACTCGCGCTTTGCTTCCTTGAGGGCCTTTGCCATTGGCTTCGACAGGCTTTAGTGAAGTGGCAGCTAGCAATCCTCCTTTGCCTAATCATTGCCTTGACCTTTGTCGGCATCTTGGGAAGCTGGTCATTGGACGGCTACTATCGAGGGTCGAGTTGCAAAGCCCCACCCTTCAAAAAAGCTGCCCGAACAGGACACCACATACATCATCCTTCAAGGACCAGGAATTACAAGACCAGTCGGATTTAGCATACAGCTGGCTTCGGCAAGAGCCGCCAACACACCATTTGGCGCTCCCATGGCGGGCTCTTTTAAGCCTGCTCACCACATCCATGATGTGGGGCTGGAGTGATTGCTCTCTCGTGGGGAGGCCTGGCGAGGATAGGTCCTGAATGCACGCAGTAAGGACCTAGTGCTTCCATCTTCTCTATCGACTACATCCTTCTCCAGATTGCAGAGCCCAAGACGAGGTACAGAGCAGCCCGACACCAGGTTGCCCGGCTGGATCAGCCCCAGCTGAAAATCATAGAAGTCCAGATAAACACCTTTGGCCAGCTGCAGGACAGACGGTGAGGCACAGGTTCCAGAGCCTCATTGCCGCAAACTCCATGGACATGCTCCCTGCAGGCATGAGCAGAGGAATTGACCTCGGCTCGCTCAGGGCGGGCGGCGCCTCCTGGATGTTGATGGTGTCGGAAGACGGCGAGATGACTCGCCGCCGAGACAGGTGGCTCTCGGCCAATCTCATGGAGATCTATGTTCAGGAGGCATGAGCTGTGCAGTTCCTGCCCCGATTGCCTCCTGTCGAAAATTTTTGAAGGTGTCGCCCTTTTTCGCTGGGCTCTTTCTAAGGTGGTGGAATGGTGACGCGCCACCATGCCGCCATTCCAGATTCAGCATAAATTTTGTTCTTGAGTGCAGCGCAGGCTTTTGAGCAGCAAGTGTTTGAAGTTTCCGTTGATTTGAAGAAGTTGGGTGGAGGAGATGACGCTTTTGGCCACATCGGCCGTGTACATCCCCCATCATATATGGAGAAAAAACATGCGGGATGAGGTAATTAACTATTCCAGGGGGGGTGACAGGGGGTCCCCTTAGGCCCTTAGGCCAGCCCCTATGCGAGCGCTATCACCAAGGCAGGCGCAGGCGATGTTGAACCAGCTCTCAGAGCAAAATACCCAGCACGAGTACATTGAGAGCCGGGATCGGCAGCAGCTTGGCTTTGGATACATCGTGAATGCTCAGGCTCAGGCTCAGGCCTTCCAGAAATAAACAACCAAGAAGCTGCGGTTTCTCATTCGGCGGCTTTGAAAAGGTACCGCCTTTGTGTGACTATGGATGGCGACATTGGTATCTTCCGGCGGTCTGGATGGGGCAAGCATGGCAGGGACCTCAGTCTCGGGTCAGGTTTGTCGTTACAAGGGGCGGCCGTTTTGCAACGTTTGGTGTGTTGCACTATGCAACCCCTCGTGCCTTCGTGCTCAGGGGGCGACTTCGCAGGTGTCCCGCGCTGGCATGCCGGAGCTGTGGGAGACAAAGCGCTGTGCTCAGTGAACAGAGCCTTGGCGAGAATGAACTATATATCAGTTATCAACCTTTCCCAAGCATTTCTGGCCTTTTGCGTGCGACGTGGTAAGCAGCGCCAACACTCGGGGCCTTCTGCCGCAAATCATGGGAAATTTTTGCACTTCCCTGGCCTCAAGTATCTGAAAAAATAACATGAAAAAACTAGCCGCGCTTCCCAAGGAGAGACGCAGGCATATGAAAAGGATCACTTTTTGGCCATGGCCAACCGTGAGCTTCAGACATGAGGGGACGGATCAGATGTTTGGTGCAGCCTGAGCCAAAGGCTGCTTCTGCACCAAGACAGCCATAAGAGGATGTACTTTAAAGGCTTTCGGAAAACTCCAAAAGAAACCTTTTGGAGATCCGATGGGTTCGTTGGAGGATGAAGCCTCCCATTAATCGACTGGCCATCCAGTGGGGCATGTGCTTGAGCCGGTTTAGGGCACTTGGACTCCGCGGCCAAGCCGCGATGGCGAACTCAGCCAAGCTGATCAGGTGGCCCATGGACATTGGATGAGATTGGTGTCCCAAGCAGGGGAGATAAATAAAACTCTACTGTAATTGTATTTCATATGACTTGAGCGGATTTCTTTTGGGATTTGCGCCTCTTTTTGCATTGTTTACATGTATCATTTTGGAGTCGAGTCCGCGTCTCCGGCTTTCTTCTGCCACCTGTCAGGCGTCCTGCTATATAGTCGTGCAGCTCTTGTGCTGCGGCTGCGTTCTTGGGCCCAAACCAGCCGGATATGGCCAGCAAGCTTCCGCAGAGCGCATACAAACCTACAGACCATCAAACTTGTCTAGTGATAGTGTATTGTGCGCGACCCGAAGTCCATTAAACGCACCATGGTGATCCGTGCCGCATGCCTAGTGGGTGCCGGTGCGGTCTTGATGGGTGCCTTGGACTATTGGGCTGCACCGACCTATCCAGTGCACCAGTCCGGTGCAGTGCTCATCACCGGAGCCTCGACAGGCATCGGCCTTCATGCGGCAAAAGGTCTTGCAGAGATGGGTTATCGCGTTTACGCGGGTGTCCGCTCGCAGGCAGATGTAGAGAAGATCAAAAGGGAAAACCCTAGCTTGGAACCTGTGATCATTGATGTGACCATTGAGGAGACCGTCACAAGGACCGTTCAACAAATCAAAGAGGAGCTTAAAATCCAAGGTCTGAAGTTTGTTGGCCTGGTGAACTGTGCGGGAGTTTCGAGGCGTTTGCCACTGGAACTGGAAGATATGGACATTGTGAAGCAGCTCTACGAGGTGAATGTTTTTGGAGTCACACGGGTGACCCAGGCCTTTTTGGAATTGCTCAGGGATTCCCAAGGACGCATCGTCAACATCGGCTCTGTGGCAGCCTTGCTTCCGCACAAAGGTAGCAGCACCTACAGCGGCAGCAAGGCCGTAAGCTGAAGGTGAAAATATTGGGCCATGATGAGGGGGATGCGTGTTTTGACGGCCTCCTATCATTCCTGGATCATCCTAGACTGTGACTGTACAAATGTTGGCAATCCTTTTGACAAATGTCACCCAAAATAAGCGAAGCATCCGCCCTTGAAGCCAGAATCACGTGGAGGGTTGTACTGTTGTTCCCAGACTTTTCCCAAGACCTGACTCTCCCCTAAAGGCGGCGTTGGAGATGATTACAGATAGCCTTCGTCTGGAGTTGGCGCCCTGGAAGATCTCCGTCAGTGTGGTCCAGCCGGGCTACGTCCAAACGGCCCTGGCGGAGAAGCAGACCGGCGACAATGCCCCGTGGCGTAAGGCAGACCCGGAGAAGAGGACCAGCTGCTCTTGGGCATGTCACAAGCAATAATCATTATACTAGGCCCTGATGAGTTGGTACTTGCCGAGCGACTATGAGATTTCAACAAATCCTATGTCATCTCAGCATTTCTCTGACTTAGAAATTTTTTATGTGTTCGTTTTCGTGGTCCGGTCTACTCTCTAAACAACATTTGGTTGACTTGCCACCTGCACACTAATGATATACAAGTCCTATGTCATTGGTTGGTGTGTCCCCCTGTCTCTGTCTATTCCCTTTACGGGGGGAGACCGGTTTCGAGAGATCGGCCGGGGGAGACAGGTCGGAACGGGTTCGACCTCTTCGGAGCGGAGTCTCCGTGTCCCTCCCCGTTAAGGGAATAGACACAGAGACAGGGGGAGAGGAGAAAAGGTGTAGAAAAAGTAGCTACTGTAGTTAATTTTTAATTCTTAGTTATTTTCCTGGTCAAATTCCTTCAGTTCCTGTCTTCCATTGATGTTTCAAGAGTTTTGAGGACATATCTTAAAATTTAAGATTTTTAAAGACTTGGGACTGACACTTCTTGAGGACACTTCTTGGGACTTGTGTGCTTCTTAAAGAGGTTGATGGGAAGATATGGTCGTTAGTTGGGACAACTCCTGAGTCATTGTACTCACCATGGGTGAACCACCCACAAAAACGAAACGTTATAAAATTTTGATCATGTCCTTTCTCTCAAGCTCTTTTCTTTGACTCTGGCAGCATGTCCTATGTCATGTCCCTCCATTTATGCCCCGACTATGCTCCACAACTCCCATCTCTCTAGAGCCTAGTATATATATTCAGCAATCAAATGATGGGTGATATTGATGAATTAATAAGCATACAGTGTAAGCAGCTTCTAGTATAGTATGTATGCAATTGTTACGTCGTCCCTGTGGCTGACTTGCTTTTCCACAAATTTCAATTCTTTTCACAGGACACTTTACCAAGCGTGGATCGATAAGTCCGACAGCAGCCGTCAGGAGGCACATGATAAAGCGCCGGGCCCGGAAGTCACCACTGATGCCATCAAGCATGCTATGACCAGCACGAAGCCAAAGACCCGTTATGTGGTGGCAAACGTCAAGGGCACTCCCGCGTGGGTGCTGGCCTTTCTGGGATGGTTCTTGCCTGATCGTGTGAAGGATGTGATCGTTCAACGATTCTGAACTTGATTTGGCAACGCTTGGTTAGCCAAGACTTTGGAGCGGTTGGCTCCATGGTTGTGCAACAGCAAAGGAAGAAGCAAAAAGGTTGACATTGCGTGATTGGATGGTATTGGGCCATCATCAATAACACCTCATGTGTCAAACTGCATCCAAGACAGTCTACATTTGTATGGACCATGTAGAGCATGTCATTTGCACACAGTCTTTCCTTGATGCTGGCTGTCGCATACATCGTTGGTGACGCTTTGCCAGGCTTGGTGAAGATGCGGCAGCAAAGGCCAAAGTGGATGAGGCACAACTTCGGCCGGAAATGGGTGTATATATCCAGAAGGATGTTGATAGAGGCTTGGCGGTCATCGACTCAAAGCGAAGTAAGCACCCAGCCCTCCTAAAGTCAGCGGAAGCAACACTTGCCACGCAAAGCGTGGGCTTGATTACACACCAAAGACCACCCAAGTTGTTTTATGGATGGATTTTGCAGATGTGACGGCTTCTCGCGGACCTCAGCTTGCGTCAGCATAGAATCAAGGAACAGGCATGTGACATAGAAGGATGAAAATGCAGAGGAATGAACAGATGAACCTTGACAGCTACAACTTGGCCCGTTGAACTCCGCTATATAATTACATGCACTTTGTCATTCTTCTCAGCACACTGCCGGATTGTTTTCAGGCAAGAGACTGTCCATTTTCGCTGCCATGTCCCCAACGCCAGTTTGCACACTGGCAGTCAGCAATTTGTGGGCACCGCGCACAGGGTTGCTTGTATTGCAGTCATGCATGGTCGCAGGATTGCGAGGTAGATTACCATCAGTGAGTCAGAGAGCCATGTGAAGGTGCAACAGGGGTGTGGGGGAATTGTCTCGATTGGGCACTGACCAAGGATCCCGATTGGGCACTGGAAAGCAGCTCCACTGCTGTGCCGAAGGGCAATGCAACAACAACTGCAGCAACTGCCACTGCGGAAGCAGAGGCCTTGGAGCTTGCTGCGTGGCACTCGCTCGGCTCGCCTTCTTTGTGTGTTGATTGCTTGGTCCGCCCTTCTGGCTTTGCGGGGGAGCTTCGTTCTGACAGCGCTGCTGGTCTCGCGGCTCATGCTGGTGATTTATGCCATTATGTTTGGGTCCCTCTCAAGACAAGCCGATGGCCTGCTTGGTCCTCGGGGTCTTGTGCCACTACCTGCCAATGGGCCTTTGGGGCGGCTGGAGTGCCCCAGCCGCTTGGCTAGCATTGCTTCCTGTTTTGCGGGACTCATGTGCGTCCTACCTCATCATCCCTGGAGCGCCTTAGCAGTGTGTGGTATGCTAATTTGGCTCTCACGGATTTACCGCGGCTTTATGACGGTGGACTTCCTCCGCTTCCAGTGGGATGTTTTGGCATTGGAGGCCGGTGGCCTGGCTGTGCTGGCCTCCCTGGCAGCTGTTCCCACATCTGCCAATATGCAACTCTTTTGCTCAGCAATGGCCATGCATGGTTTCACGCTGCTTTGCTTTAAACTCATGTGGGGCTCCTGCCTATGCAAACTCCTCTCCAACTGTCCAGAGTGGAACTTCGGCACTGCGATGCAGTATCACCATCGGACCACCTGCCTTCCAAAGCCATGGGCACGTACCCTCCATCGTTGGAGTGGCTCCTCCCAAGCGTCTTCCATCCAAGGATTGCTCACACTGTGGGTCGAGGGCCCACTGTCATTGCTGTCCCTCACAGGCTGGCCCTTGGCAAGAGCGATCTCTTGCGTCCTTTGGTGTGGTTTGATGATTGGCATCGCAGTGTCCGGGAACTACGGAATCTTGGAGTGTCTGTCTCAGCAACTCCCGGACCTTTGGCATTTCTTGAGGCCAAGGCTAAGAATGATGGGCTATCCTAGAAGCCTGCAGCTCATGTTTCTGGGTAATGACGTAGTGAGTAGTGAGTTGAGTAGATTCCTCAGACAGTCCCCAGGTCTAAAGCACAGTATTGTGTGTGTGAGTGTGTGCTTGTGTTTGCTTGTGTTTAGGATAGTGTACCATCACATGACTTTCCCCCTGCTATACTGCCGGTGTTTGCACCATGGCAAGGGATATATGACATGTCTATATATATACTGTATATATTTGTATAATATCATTGTGTAAATTACATCGGTGTGTGTGTGTGTGTTTGTGTGCTTGTATGATCTAGATTCAACATGATCGGAAGGTTGTTCGAACTCGTCTTGAGGATTCTTCAATGCCCTCACCTGTGTGATTGCTACAGCCTTGCTTGACGACAGCCAGCTTGCCTGGTTGGGTTTGAGGGTGACAAGCCCAGGGCCAACAGCGTCACCCACAGTTGGGTTCATCCGAGATTGGTTGGGCTTTGGCACTTTCACATTCACAGTTGCTGCCTGGGCTTTGTACACAGCGGGGACCGTTGCGACTCTGCACACCATTTGCCGAGCGGACGCGGCTCCCGTTTGGTGTCGTTGGGCCGAGAAGTGGTTGAGTTCACATGGGCTTGCGGGAAGATACGGGCTTTTTGCACGTATGACCACCACCAGGGATGAGGTGATCATCAAAGAGTTGCACAGGTTGCCAAAAGCCTTGGCTGAGAGTGCTATTCAGGATGGTTTGGCCAAGCCAGCTGCTGGTGAGGTAGGGAAGTTCTGGGTGGAATTGGCCCTCCCCTACAAGCCAGGACCATTGAACCGTGCTCCTCCAGTGCTGTTCACACATATGCCTCGCTTGGATTGGCAGATGTGGTTTGTGTCCTTGACATGGGCCAGGTTTGATGAAAGGCCGCTGTGGTTCGATCGCTTCTTGACCGCTTTGCAGAATCGGAATCCTGACATCATTAAGCTTGTGGAGCATCATGGCCAGCACCCTGTGCAAAGCCGCACCCTTCGCCAGAAGCCAGAAAAAATCCAAGTGACGCTGGAAGACTACCAGTACAACGATCCAACTCGAGAGGCCAAAGCAGCTCCCGATGGTGAGTGCGGTGACTGGTGGTGCCGACAGCCGCAAGGTGAGTGGAAGATTCATATAAAAAGATAATGCAATAAACTGAGAATACAGAACATAATAATATGTGACTGTTGGCTGTAAATAATTCCAACCATATGTATATATTATGGTTGATTCATTTCTGTATGCTTCGCACACTGCTGCGATCAAAGTCCTCGGGGGGCATCTGAAATCTATGACATTGATTTTGTTAATGGTTCTACTGTTCTGTAACCTGAAGTGTGTGAATATGGCATACGTTCTCGTGTTTAAAGACGATAAACGTTCTTATTTCCGCGGATTCTCGGCTTCAGCTCAGTGGCTGATGGGTGACATCCACGACTGGGCATCTTGCCGGTGCCAGTTGTGCTTGGCCTCACAGCGACTTTTGCTGCTCGTGTGCAACGAGAAACTTGGTGAGGCATTCTCACGAGCTTGTGTGAGAAAGCTTCGTGAGGTCTACATCGAGTTGCTCGACGAGGCCGAGAGCAAGTCGAAAGAGGGGGTTGGGAGAGCGACATATTCGACCCCCGCTTTCAAAGAGGACACCGCTTCAAAGGGAACTGCCACTCCCTCTGGAGCAAAGGACACGAAGAGTCAGCCATCCGTGAAGAGTGAGAGGAGCGAGGAGGAAGAGGACACTTCAGCAGCTGGTGGGCGTCGTGAGGGAGAAGAAGAGAAAGCATCTCCCGAGAGCACCCCTACAAAGAGTGGAAAGGAGGAGAAGAGGAAGCGTTCAAGGTCCCGTCATCGTCGCCGCCGTTCTTCAGAGAAGAAGTCAAGCAGAAAGGACAGAAGCAACAGCAGGGGGAGAAGCAGACACTCCCGTAGCAACGTCAGGTCGAAGAAGAGCGCCTCGTCCGCCTGCCCCAGATTCTGAACACCAAGGTTCCGCAAAGGCTTCATCAGAGCCATCACGTGAGCCCCGAGTCAGATCTCCGCCCAGGCCATCGAGGTTTGATCCTGCCGCCCGACGAGCAGCTCCGCCGCCATCAAGCTGGACTTCATCAAGGGTGGAGTCAGGAGAGGATAGAAAGGAGCGAGGCAAAGTCCTCCCCCGGAGAAAACCTCAGGAGCCGGACCGCCCGCCACCTGGCCATCGAGACGAGCGAGATTGGTCATCGTATCAAGCCTTTCCCAAGTCCAAGGGTACAGGTATTGGCCGGTGCGAAATCGAGGAAACCAGCCGACAGAGTCCAAGGGAAAGACCAAGAGAGAGAGAGAGAGAAAAATCTCAACTACAGGCTGTGGAACGAGTACGACCGTGAGCAAAAGAGGCGGTGATGCCGCCGAAAGTTCTCAGGCGGCCGGGGGGTCGAGCACCCGGCCCAGTTCGAGGACGAGGAGACAGGGAAGCAGTGTTGAGAAGGCCTGCAATGAGAGAGAGAGAGAGAGGACAGCAGACGAGCTAGGTGGGATGTGGAGGCCCATCCCGGAGCTCAGCATGGAAGAGATCGGGCTCTTGGACAAGGTGGTCATCGAGGGCAAGTACTGGGAAGCACCGTGCATTGTGGCCGGAGTTGTGAACGGCCTGAACTTCAGAGGAGGAGACAAAAAGTTGAGAGTGTTGGTAACAGGCACCCAGACGGAAAGCCTGTTGAAGGCTGTTGGAGGTCGATGCCAAGAGATGGAGGTGCACCTTTGCAGCCAGCCTTGCGAGAGTCAGGTTTGGAACAACAGTCTGGTTCATGTAGAGCGCTTGAAGGTGCAGTCCGAGCCCGTCGAAGCGTGGTGCACCAATCTTGAGGACGCACGAGGTCGAGGTCTCGCCGCAGTGGAGGAGCCCGAGGCAGGAGATCAGTTGGTGAAGCTGAGAAAGGAGATGAAGAAGGTAATAGAGGGAGTAAATATGGAGGAGTACTCTCCCGAAGGCGGTGCCGCTCCCGTAGTCGAGGGAGACAAAGAGAGGAGCAAGGCAAAGAAAAAGGTGAAGAAGAAAGAGAAGGAGAAGGTGAGGCCTTGTCTAGAGGTGCCTTTGAAAGACATCTTCGCTCGGACTGGGGTAGACCCAGACCCCCAAATGAGAAGGTCTTTGATGCGAAAGGCCCGAAAGATCCGACGAGGAAAGAAGAAGAAGAAGAAGGGGAGCCAATCCCGCAGCAGGGAAAAGGAGGACCAAGACAGCGATACCTCGACTACCTCATCAAGTCAGGAGAGGACCTGATCGGTTCAAGCGAGTTGTTCGAAGCAGAACGACGAGCGCTTCAGATTTGGAAGAGAATTCCCGGAGCTTTGTCATGCGGAGTGATCCAGGACATGCGGCAAAGCTTGATGACAGCCGAGGGGTTCCTCTCCGCCAGCAGCGAAGGGAGCCTGCCACCAGTGGCCAGCCAATACTACAGACAGCACCTTCAAGGTCAAGTGGGACCGGTGATGAGAGATGCAGCATTGGTGCCTGGTGGTGGACCTCATGCTACGCGGTCGACCAGCGGCCGCATTGGACGTGGCAGCACAAAGGATAAAATCCTTGGAGCAGATCGCGAAGTTGGAGGGCGAAAGAGAGTAGTGCTGTGCCTCTGACTGGTGACTTAGGTTCAGAAGACCGTCTTTCTCCGCATCTTGATTTTCTTTCAATTTTGACACAACCTCCGCATGCGCGGAAAAACCTGCGTTTTGAGTCTATATATATATATATACTGTATAGCATGTTTGCTTTGGGGGGTTGAAACTTTGCCTTGCAACCTTCCTACTTCCCCAGGCAAGTGTTCCTTGACTGGCGTTTGTTTCAGCAAAGCTGTTCGGCTGTAGAGTTGCACAGCGAGCAGTCATCATATATTCTCACAGTTCTTTGCCAGTTGCCGCCTTGTCGTGAAAATGCTCAAAAAAAGAATGTCCGCATCAGCTCACTGGTTGCATATGAAAACAGGTCACCATAGTTGCTGTTTGGTGTACTGTGGTACTGGGTGATCTACGACTTGTGAATAGAAGTTGCCATGATTCCTCCAGCACAGGCTCCCATTCCGAATCCCGAGACTCTGGAAGAGAGCACCGAAGTTGAGGAGGTGGACGGAGTGCTTCAGTGCACGAGCGTTTGGTTGGCAATATGCTTTAGCTCGCAATACTTTGGTCCGATTTTTGACCACACCTAGCTCAAAATGTTTTGCGCCAGGCCCCCCTGCCAGTACCAGAGATTTTGCATGGCCCAACTCCTCAGCAGTGAAGTTCTGAAGAGGTTGCCAGGCAATGGACTTTAAATAGATCCGAATTATACAGTGTCTATCGGGCTTTGGGCCTCGGTTCCACTTGCCTGGGATGGCAGAGGTCCTACTCGGCGGCTGTGGCAGCACATTAAATCGCTGGGACTTTTACAAACCAGCGGCACCGTAACCAAACATAGTATGGCTCTTAGTTTCACCAGAGGCCGGGAAAAGCAAGAACTGGACTCAAGCGCCAATGCGCCAATCACTCGCAGCATGTTTTTGAACCCGCGAGGTGTTTTCAATCCGGTGATCCTGGTGGCAGGCTGCGAACGTAGCAATTTGCAATCTTGGATAGTCTTGGCAACAGAGCCTTTGAGATTGTCTTGGCGCTGTAGGTCTGATCAGTACGGTGATTGCCCTCTCAGCGGTCATCGCGCTAAACCTAGTCAATTTGCAACCTCGGGTTTCTCGAAGCCTCACGCATACAATGTGAATATATACATATATTATTACCCCCATGGGAATATCCTCTATAAAATCTGGGGGGATGTGTTCAGAAATCAGGGGGATTCTATAGAGAAAACACGTTTTTCTATAAAATCAAAAGGTTCATGTATATAAATAACATCATTGGAGAGAGCCTGTTTTCAAAATTAAAAGAGTCAAAAAAGTCAATCCCAAGAGTCAAAGTAAACAAGAAACTAGACGACGAGTGGCCCGAAAGCATTTTTCATCACGTAGGAAGTCAGAGTGCGAGTTATCCGGTAAGTGTGCAGTGAGAAGTGTGAAGTCGAGTGCGTTGAGGTAGTGTGTGGGTTTCTGTGCGTGCGTCTATGTCCGTGTGGAAATGAGTCTGCGTATGTATGTGTTCGTGTAAGTTGAGGGAGTGTGTGGGTGTCTGTGTGTGAAGCGGCCTCCCAAACCCCCCACCGGCGGCCAAGCGGTGACGGCCCAGCTCATCGTCGTGAGCATTTGGGCTGCTGGTAAGGGGAGAAGCAGCGTGCACGGCGCCAGGAAAAGCTCACGGAAAGAAACGAACCGGAATGAGGACACAAAAGTGCCGAGGCAGGTGCGCCAGAAGTGTCTCGAAGCAGTGACCTGTCAGAGGAGATGAACGAAGTAGCGCGCA